TAACCAAGAACAAGGCCATGTAAATTTTGAATCATAGCACACTCAGTCATCCGTATCTCCGTCCCCCCACCTGATTTGGTAAAAAGAAATGGCATTCCCTCACAGTAAACATCCTTAATTTTTTGTTTTTTCGATAACACTCTTTGCTCCTTCTCACTAGCCATTTGGACACCCCAGCTGTCTAACCACCTAAAAGAGTTTCAAGAATAGTCAGGATTAATTGAAAAGTTTTAGCCAACATGTTATACCTAAGAAAAATTAGTTTCATACATGTAGGATATTCAAACCTTCTAATGTGCCGCATTTTATTCCAGGGAATCCCAAGCTCAGTTTTAATGGCCAACCCCTGTCCTGGTGGCACTGACAGCTTCACTCCAGACAACTTGATTAACTCTTCTCTATAAGATCTTTTCATTATTTGAATATCACAGATATGTTGAGCCTTCATGTCCTCGTCAGACCCACCACTGATGTTTTTTCGAACATTGTRAAGCACCAGTGCTCTCCGTTGTAAAGTTTTTTTGCTGGCAGTAGAACTGCCAACACGGGCTTGCTTGGCAACTGAGAGTTGAAGGGGCTGTTAACAGGATTGAGTTATATATTATTTGTGGTATGTTGATGGTGGATATATTTTCATATGAGCATTAATTTGGATTTTGTCATCCAAGTTAGACATCATTGCACAATATTGAATATTGAATCATAACTATCATGAATATTGAACATGTATATAGGATGTAAATAGTTATTTTTCTAGGGTGTGATATTAGTGAAACAAAACCAAAGGCGTATTGTCTAATTGCTAGTGGATATTACTGGAGTAGRACATTGAGAACTGAAGCAAATACCTCTTAAGTGCCTTTCTTTGGTTCATGCATGAGTGAATCCTTAGTTATTAAGTAGCAGATAACTAATATTTTTAAGCGCTACGTAGCTAGTTATTCTTTTACGCATATATGGCCTGCCCTCTATTGAACTGGGCTTTCTAATTTGGCCTCGATTATTTTTAAAATCATATTCTGATGCCATATTTTTTCAGTAATTATTAATAAAATAAGTAGCAAAGAACTTTGTAATGGGAACAACATTATGCCCAAATGAGGAAGATGTAAGCTGGGGGTACTCCCATGTAAAAAGGGCGGGATGATCATTGAAAAAATAAATTTAAACCCTAAAAGATACTTTACAGTTAGGGCGTGGTCCTGGTTTAATTTTAGCCCTAAAAATACCACTTTGAAACAGGAGATAAATCATATACAACAAAAATCATGAGCCCTAAAATAGGGAATGACTTATGATCTCAATTTCAATCCTCTCAGCCCTTTGTTATGTGGGAGTAATTACCCCCGGAGRTTTAAGGTACTTACAGTGCCCCCTGTTTTTAAAATTATCTGTGATGAAGTAGAGTTGTTCATTTTTCTTTTCATCAAGTGAGTTGCCAGAATTTCCTCGGAAGATGATAGAGGAACACTACAAGGGGTTTTCAATACTTCTGATACCGTGGTACTACATGGTTGAGCCAGGTACTTTTTTACAGCTTTCCTCGTGTTTTTCAAGACAGTCAAGACGTACAGGGGTTTTACAAGAAGAACAAGACACCAGAAGGGAGCACAAAAGGTTTAAAACTA